CCCCACCTCTGCCGGGGGCTGAGCCCATCCCTCCCCCACCCCCCGCACCCCCTCTGCCCGCAGGTGCTGCCCCACCCCCGGCTCCCCCACTCCCGGGGGCCCCAGCGCCACCACCCCCCCCACCGCTCCCGGGGGGGCCGGAGGGCCCCGTGCCCCTCCCTCCACCACCCCCACCCCTCGGTGGGGAGCCCCCAGCCGGGCCGGGTGTCCCCCCCACTGCCAACAGTTCAGGTGAGTGTGACCCAGGAATGGTGGGGATGTCCCCTGGGAGGGGTCTGGGGGCACCCACCCACCAGTGGGTTTGGGACCCCCCTCCCTGTGACGTGCCCCCGTCCCTGTGACCCTGCAGTGAAGGTGAAGAAGCCGATCCAGACCAAGTTCCGCATGCCCGTCTTTAACTGGGTGGCCCTGAAGCCGAGCCAGATCGACGGCACCGTCTTCACCGAGCTCAACGATGAGAAGGTGCTGCAGGTGAGCGCACGGGACAAGGGGCTGGGCACAGGGTGCCTGGGGGTCAGTGCCCCAGGCCACGCTGAGGTTGCCCTGTGCCCACCCTGCACCCACCCGCGGTGTCACGGGGCTACAGGAAGAGCTGGAGGTCAGGAAAACTCCTTAGCACCATGGAGAGGGACATGGGACGGGCGTGCTGCTTCTCTCACCCTGTCCTTGTCCCTTTGCTCCATCGGCATCCTCACATCCTGTCCTTTTCTTCTTCCTCATCTCCATCCTCTGATCCTCTCACCCCCTCCTTACCCCTCCCTGTCCCCTTGTTCCATCCTCATCCCCTTGCTTCATCTTGATCCTCACTCCTCACCCTCACGGTGCTCTGGCCCTGTCCTCACCCAGATGTCCTGTGCCCCTCCCCACCGTGCCCACAGCCCTGTGTCCCCACAGGAGCTGGACATGAGTGACTTTGAGGAGCAGTTTAAGACCAAGGCACAGGGCCCTGCCCTGGACATCAGTGTCCTCAAGAGCAAGGCCACGCAGAAGGCCCCCAGCAAGGTGACCCTCATGGAGTCCAACCGCGCCAAGAACTTGGCCATCACCCTGCGCAAGGGCGGCCGCAGTGTCCAGGACATCTGCACGGCCATCGAGACGTGAGTGCTCCTCCCGGGAGGGATGAGGTCGGGCACAGCCCAGCAGGACCAAGGGCTTGGGGTGGTGGAGGGTGAGGTGCAGGGATTGGTATGGGGATGCAGAGAGATGGAGGGATGGAGGGATTAGAGGTGGGGAGGTGGAAAGATGCAGGAATGAGATGAGACAAAGGGCCAGAGATAGAGAGAGACAGACTCTCCAGACACTGTGTCACCAGTTATGGGGATGAAGGAATGCAGGAACCAGATATGAAAAGAAGGGATGTGGGGACCAAAGACAGAGAGATGGAGGGATCCATATGGAGAGATAGAGAGATGCAGGGTCCAGGTATAGAAAGGTGGAGTGATGTGGGAACCAGCTTTGAGGGTGGAGGGATGATGGAACCAGCCGGGGGTGACAGGGGGGCTTTGAGACCCACGGCAGGGCCTGACAGTGCCAGGGGTGTCCCCTCCCTGCAGGTATGACCAGCAGGCCCTGAGTCTCGACTTCCTGGAGCTGCTGCTGCGCTTCCTGCCCACCGAGTACGAGCGGAACCTGATCGGGAAGTTCGAGCGGGACCAGCAGCCGCCAGAGGAGCTCTCGGACGAGGACCAGTTCATGATCTGCTTCAGCAAGATCCCGCGCCTGGCCGAGCGCATGAACGTCATGATCTTCCTGGGCAGCTTCGGTGACACGGCCCAGCTGCTGATGCCGGTGTGCGCTGGGGACGGGCGGGCCGGGGGCTGCACGGTGACGCTCCCACGGTGACACTCACACCCTTCCCTCCCTCCCACAGCAACTCAACGCCATCATCGCCGCCTCCATGTCCCTCAAGTCCTCCAGCAAACTGCGCCACATCCTCGAGGTGAGGACTTTGTGGGGAGGTGGCCCCGATGGGCGCAGAGAGGGTGGCAGTGTCTGTAGGCACTGTGCCCTCCTGGCCCTGTGTCCCCAAGCCGTGGTGTCCCCGCAGATTGTCCTGGCCTTTGGGAACTACATGAACAGCAGCAAGCGTGGAGCTGCCTACGGGTTCCGGCTGCAGAGCCTTGATGCGGTAGGGTCACTGTGGGATGATGGGGGCACTGCCAGGGACCAGCCCTGGGGACAGAGGGAGACAAGGGCCAGCTGCAGAGATGGAAGGATGCAGGAACCTGCTGTGGGGACAGAGGGATGCAAGGAGCAGCAGTTGGGATGGAGGGAGACGAGGTTTAGCTGTGGGGACTGAGGGATAAAGAGACTGTCTAATGGGCTGGAGAGGCAACAGGAGGAGGCAAAGGGATGGAGATACACAGCGAAGGGGTTGGAAGAATGGAGACATGATATGTAGAGGTCAAAGGTTTCAAGGACCTCGATGAAGGAAGATGAGATGAAGGAAGATGGGAATTAGCTGTGGGGATAGAGGAAGGTCAGACATGGAAATGTAGGGATGAAGAACCAGCTGCAGGGACAGAGCAATGCAGACCCAGCCATGGGGATGGAAAAGATGGGAATCAGCTGTGGGAATGGAGGGATGCAGATCCAGCTGTGGGAATGGAGGGATGCAGATCCAGCTGTGGGAATGGAGGGATGCAGATCCAGCTGTGGGAATGGAGGCATGCAGATCCAGCTGTGGGAATGGAGGGATGCAGATCCAGCTGTGGGAGTGGAGGCACGGAGGGATACAGACCCAGCCACAAGGATTAAGAGCCACCAGAGGCAGCCCTGAGCAGGGTGAGGGGTGGTGGCTGCGGGTCGGGGCTGACTCTGCCCTGCCCCAGCTCCTGGAGATGAAGTCGACAGACCGCAAGCAGACCTTGCTGCACTACCTGGTGCGGGTGATCATGGAGAAGTACCCGGAGCTCACTGGCTTCCACACCGAGCTGCACTTCCTTGACAAGGCAGGCACAGGTAGTGCCCACGGGCCCTGGGCTGAAGGTCGAGGCAGCCCCTGGCACTCTGAGCCTGCCCTGACCCTGCACTGCTCACCTCCTGCAGTGTCCCTGGATGGTGTCCTGCAAGATGTGCGGAGCCTGCAGCAGGGCATGGAGCTGACCCGCAGGGAGTTCATGAGACAGGATGACAGCCCTGTGCTCAAGGACTTCCTCAAGGTCAATTCAGAGGTGATGGAGAAGCTGCAGGCTGACAGCAAAACCGCCAAGGTGGGTGCTGGGGTGGGATGGGGTCATGGGGGCATTTCCCTGCATGGGACAGACACCCTGGGGTGCCCTCTGCTCACACCTCTGCCCTGTGGGAGAGGCTTCTGCTCGGGATGTGGGTCCAGTGGGACAGGCAGGAGGGATATGGGGCAGGATGGGGTGGTGGGATGGGCTGGGAAGAGGTGGTGGGTGATGGGATGGGCACCATTACCCAGCCCCAGTCTCCAGATCAGGTGTCTCTGCCCACAGGAGGCGTATGAGTCAGCTGTGGAGTATTTCGGGGAGAACCCCAAGACCAGTCCCCCCACCACCTTCTTCCCCATGTTCATGCGTTTCATCAGAGCCTACAAGGTAGGAGTGGGCATGGGGTTCTCTGTTTCTGAGGGCTGGGAGGAGGTCTGGGGCACCTGACCCCACTTTGGAGCAATCAGCAGAAGTCACAGGCAAGGCTGGGGTTCGTGGGGCTCAGAAATGCCTTTGGGATGGTCAGATTTTGGAATTGTGTTGGGGTGAACTGGGGGCTGTGAGGGGAGGAAGGAAGGGGGCTGCAGTCCTGGACTCCCCTGCTCAGCACACCCTTCCTGCCCCTCTCCCAAGAAAGCAGAGCAGGACATTGAGCTGTGGAAGAAACAAGAGGCCGCAGCCAAAGAGGCAGGAGCCGTCTCCCCTGGCAGTGAGCAGCAGCCCGAGGTGAAGGTGCCCCCATGTTTGTGTCCTGGTGGGGTCCCAGCCCCAGCCCTGAGTGGTCCTGGGGCGGGATAGCTGGGTGGGAGATGAAGGTGAGGGTTCCCCATCTCCTCTGGGGTGTGATCACATCACTCAAGCACCCTGTCCCCTCCCCAGCTGCCTATCCAGAAGGCCAGGAGGCAGCAGATGGACATGATTGCTGAGCTGAAGAGGAAGCAGATGGTGAAGGAGCCACTCATCTACGAAGGCAAAGACGGGGCCATTGAGGATATAATTTCAGGTGAGAGATGATTTCAGGTGAGCAGCCAGGTGTCCCCACATCACAGACCCCAGCTGGGGGCTGCAGGGGCTGGCACAGGAGCTGGAGGATCACCAAGCCCCATCACAGGGATCAGACCTACCTTCACATCCCACATGGCAAAGTTGCCGAGTGCTCCCTCCCTGTCTCATATCTCTTCCTCCTCTTCTGCTTCTTCCTCCTCTCTCCTCCTCCTGCTCCTTCTCGCTGTCTCTGGATCGCTCTGCTCAGCTCTCAAAACTGTCCCTTTCACGGCTCGGACGGGCAAACGCTCGTCCCGGCTCTTCTGCGACGTGGGCTTCAACGAGGAGAGTCCTCTGTAGGTAACGTGGGGCAGCGGGGCCGGCGCAGGCGGGCGGGGGCTGCCGGGCTTCCCCCCCTCCCCGCCGGGACCCCGGGGGCACCGGGATCAGCCCCGGTGCGGTGCTGGGCTCCGGGAGCCGCCGGTCGGGGTCCCACGGGCTGATGCTCGGTGCCTGCTGCTCCTCCCGTCCTGGGTTCTTCATTCCCAGAGGGGTGACAGCCAGGCAGAGACACAGGACAGGGGACAAGGGTTTTAAACGAACAAAGGACAGCTTTAGGTTGAAGGTTCAGAAAATAATTCATTCCTGTGAGGGTGAACTCTAGTACAGGTGGCCAGAGCAGCTGGGGCTGCCCCTGGAACCCAAGGCCGGGTTGGACGGGGCTTGAAGCACCCAGGGACAGTGGGAGGTGTCCCTGCCATGGCAGGGGTGGCACCGGGTGGCCTTTAAAGTCCCTCCAACCCAAACCATTCCACGTTAATGTGACGGGTGGCAGGACCCCGGCCATCCCCGGTGGGCAGTGAGGCTGATCCGGCCCTTGCGCTTCCCCCGGTGCAGATCTGCGGAACAACCCGTACCGCCGGGGGGACAAGGCCCGCGGCAGCGCCAAGAAACGGGCGGCGGGGCAGAGCCTGCAGGCGACGCCGGACATCGCGCTGTGACCGGCGCCGTCCCTGCAGCTCCAGGAGCGGGCCAGGACCATCCTCCCGACGCAGATGGGCCCGCAGGATGTCAGTCCCTCAGCCCGGGGCTCGGCGGGGTGGAGGGACCGTGCCCGCTCCGAGCTGCTCCAGCCGCTTGATGCGCCAGCTCCGCCTTGCCCGGGCCTGGCACAGGCACCCCCGGCGCTTGCTTGGCCGTGTCCCTGAGCTCCTCTCCCGGGCTGCCAGGGCTGGGGGGCCCCTCCTGGCTACGGTCAGGGAGGGGGAAGCACAGAAAGCGCCCCTGCTTGTCCTGGAAGGAAAAGCGGGGCTGTCCCATCCCTACCCCGGCGCCGCGGGGTCAGCCCTGCGCACCGGCGTGTCCCACCCGCAGCGTGCCGGTGCCTTGGATTGCGGGAGGGGAGGGAAGGGAGGGGGTGCCAGCCAGGCACACAGCGCTCCCCCACATCTCCCCCTCCTCCCCCGGCCCCGCAGAGCCCTCCCAGACCCGCGTTCTCCTGCGCTGCAGAGCCAGCGAGGAGCTGCTGCAAAGCTCCCACCCGGGCACCTCCCGGACCCAGGGGCTGGCAGCGGTGCTATTTTACATGATTTTATAAGTCTTCCTTCAAATTTCTCTGCGCTGCGGCAGCGGGGATTGGAACACCCCCACGCAGGGTGTCCTCAAGGCTGTGGCGAGCAGCGCTGGGCTGTTCCTCGCCGCAGGGGAGGCTCCGAAGCTGCGGCAATCGGCAGCAGGGACAAGTTTCGGCGAGGTGGAGGCACCTCCGCCCTCCTTCATCCCCAGCATCCACCTTCAGTGTCGGGGCTGGAGCCCCTGGGATATCCCGGGACTGTCAGCTCCCCGTTCTGTGGGGTGGGACACGCAGGAGGTGCCGGCAGCCCCCAGCCCCAGCCCCGCAGCAACCGCGACCCCAAAGGCTGCGGGGTCCCTGCTGCCACCGGGCTGGAGAGGCCCGGGAGCCGCACGAACCTCTCGGTACCGCACCGGACCCGAGCCTGTCGCTCCCTCCCCTGCCCCGCTGCTGCTGAGAAACCCCGACCCCGCAATGCCGCAATTAAACCTCTCTGTACGATTTCTTCATCAAACGGGCCCCGCTCGTCCCCATGCGAGGACGCTCCTCCCTCCTCCCGTCCCTCCTGCCGTCCTTCCTCGCTCGTCCCAGCTTCAGCCAGAGCAGCCGCTGCTTCCTGCTGTATTTAAGCTGCTTCAGCGCCGGCTCCGTGTCCGGGGAGGGATGGGAAATGAATGTGTAACTTATAAATGCCTTTAAGCCAGAAATGTAAACCATTAACTGCTCATTTGTATACATTATTTTTATATACTGAAGGCCTGTTTAATCTAAAGCAAAACTGATAATAAAATGTCTCAGAGGATAAAGGACTTGTCTGGGAGAGGGGTTTGCATGGGGGGGGCGATGCTGTCATGGAGGGAAGGAGGGAGGGAGAAAAGGAAGGAAGGATGGAGTGAGGGAGGAAGATGAAGGGAGGGATGGAAAGATGGAGGGAGTGGCTGTGGCTGCCCCATCCCTGGAAATGTCCAAGGCAGGTTGGACAGGGCTTGGAGCAACCTGGGATAGTGAGAGGTGAGAGGGTGGAACAGGATCATCTTTAGCGTCCCTTCCAACACAAACCAGTCTGGAATTCTAGCGAGAAACCACCCACCATTTTTTTGAGGACAACAGATCTGAGGTCTGTTCACAGCACAGCCATGTGGGAGCATGACAGAACAAAAAATGTGTTTCAGGATAACTGTCCTCAATCATCAGCCTGGCCACAGCCCCCCGGCCCCCTGGGCTCGTTCACCAGAAGGATTCAGCTCCGTGCAGCAGCAGCAGAGGGGCTGCAGCACTGGGAGGTGTGGGGGGATCCCCAGCGCTCCACCTGCACCTCCCAAGGTAACACTGAGCAGCTCCCAGTGCAGCAAATCCCCTATAACGGGACAGAGGGAGGATGGGACTCTGCTTGGAAGGAGAGAGATGCCAGGATATTCAGCAAAGCCTGGGCTCAGAGCCATCGAAGTTAGTGCTGCCTCTACAGCCCAAGAAATCACAGAACCCCAGAATATCCTGCACTAGAAGGGACCCTCAAGGATCACCCAGTCAGCTCCTGCTCTGCACAGACACTTCAGCAATCCCACCCTGTGCATCCCTGGGCACGGTGCCCAAATGCTCCTGGAGCATTTGGCAGCCTTGGGGTGGGACCTGGGGAGCCTGGGCAGTGCCCAATCCCCCTCCCTGACTGCTCCTGCATCCCTCAAATTATTATATAGCAGCGTTTAATCAGACCAGGCTCCTTTTCCTGGAAAATGTTTTATTCAGCATCACCATCTTGATCTATAGGACAACACATCAAACAACCAGCGATGACAACAAACAAAATCTTTTTTTTTTAGCTTTATTTTTTTTTTCCCTGTGAAAATGCAGGTCAAAAACATTAACTTCAAGGAATCACAGTTTTATAAAGTGTCATTCATTCCATACAAGCTCCTCGTTCCAGCACCTTCCCCCACTGCCCATCCCAAAGAGATCCTCAGCTTCACCTCACCTCACCAGCAGTGATTTTTCCAGACTTCCTGAACAGGAGCTGCACGACAAGAGCCATCTGTGTTTATCACTCCTACTTGTCCTCCCCACCCTGAGCTGGGGTTCTGTCCTAAACACTCGTTATGAAACCTGACAGTTCCAGCCAAATTTGAATGAGGATAATGCAAATCGTCCCCGACTTCCTGCTGTCAGTATTGCCTTCATCTGGAAGCTGGGTTGTTTGTGCCTGTCACAGCAAAGTGACAAGCTGAGGGAAGAGGAAACTGTCCTGGCAGCAGGAGAAAGCCAGGGAGAGCTCAGGCTAGCTGGCAGCTCAGCCTGGAGATCATCCCAGAGGAGAACCCCAGCTCAGGGACTGGGAAGGCACCAGTGGTTTGTGTGGCTGCCAGGTGTCTGTCCCCAGGCAGGGACTGTGCCACCACATCCCACCCTGAGAGCAGTGACACGGCCAAGCTTTGTGTGCTGGGAACCTGAAGCCTCACTTGGGCACTTGTGGTGGCAGCAAAACAGGGACTGGAGGCTTTGGACAAAACAAAGAGGGTGAATCCTGGCTAATGCTGCTGTGAGGGTATCGGGGAACACAGATATCTCCATGGACCAGGGGAACATGGACAGCTCCATGGACCAGGGGAACATGGACATCTCCATGGACAGTGTGAGGACATCCCGGGCCCCAGGAGGGTTCGCTGCTCTTGTGCAGGTGGCCTGAGTTCAGGTTAATGCTGCAGATGCAGAGCCCAGGAGTTCTGCAGCCAGTCCTGCTGCTCCCTCCCTCCCTGCTGCTCCAGGGCTCAATCCTAATGCCTAGGCATGGAACTAGATACCAGGACGTGGGAGCAGCCCCCAGGCGACAGAGGCACAAGGGGCAGCCTTTGGGATGGAAGCCACGATGCTTTGGGATTGACACATCACCACACACACACAGAAACAACCAACAGTTCTCCTCCTGTCCCCTCAGAGGAAGCTCAGGAAAGGAGCCAGGCATGCACTGTGCTTGGGAGCTTCTGGGACCCCTGGAAGAGGCACTTTGATCCCTCCTGCTCCAGAGCTTAAACTCTTAGTAGTTTATGGCATCTGAAAAAAGAAATCGAGCCAACCTCCCCCTTTCCCCATTCCCTCCTGGAAGACATGTGCATAATGTGTTAATTATTTACTAAAAAGACTCTGAATGTGGCATTGTAGATATAATTAGGTGCCTATTTTGGACAACGTATTAAGTGCTTTAGAACAAAAAGTGCTATAAAAACTATACCCAGAGTGGTGACAGGTTTCATTTTTCTTCATTTCCACTTTCTTATTACATCACAACTTGAATTTTCTGATCTGGGATGTCACTGTCTGGTGGAGCAAAACCAGCCCATGTTCTGGGAGACCAAAGGGAAAGAGCATCCATTGTTTAAGGAGTGCTGGTTCTCAAAAAGGGAGGCTCAGAGTTCAGCTTTTCCCAGCTATTTTCTAAGTGAGCTCTTGGGAACACTGCCAGAATTGCTGCCCCGTTGTGTCTCCCAGACCAGCATGGATTTGGCAGAGCCCACCTTGGCCTTTGGGAGCCGTTTCTCTGCCCAGGCTGGATGCTCAGAGGCTCAGAGGCTGCCACAGAGCTCTGGGAGAGCACAGCCACAGGGAGGGACTGTGATTTCCAGGTGTGCCAGGCCTTGGAGCAGCCCTGAACAAGCACACTCGGAGCTCACACCTCCCTCGGGATCCGTTCTGGGACGGAGAAGAGCGAACAACACCCGCCCACCTGAACTTGACCTGTGAGGTTTCAGTATTCACAAACATTCACAAATCATTAAAAAAAACCAGTTCAAAGCTTAAGGCATTCCAGGCCCAGCTGCCCATCCCACTCAGTGATCCCAGTCTGAAGTGAGGGGAGGAGTGGGAAGCCTTGTGAGGTCAGGCGGAGCTCACAGAACTGGGGCACTGGGCTGAGCTCACAGAACTGGGGAGCTGGGAGGGAGATTTTTATAACTCTGCAATAAAATTCAGCCCTGTCACAATTGACAGAGCTGATGTCCCTTACTCCATCAAGGATGGGACAGTGCACCCGAAGTCCCACATCAGAGATGGGAACAGGATGGAAGAACAACCCCTCCACTCTCCCACCAAGGAATTCTGTACCCTCCTCCTGCCCTGCCTGCCAGGGACACCAGAGAGAGCACCAGCTCCTCTGAGACCTGCAGGTGGGAGCTGCAAGCAAAGCTCTTTCTGGGAACAAAGTTCTTTTCTGATTCAAGAAGGAAGCGACTGCGGGGAAGGGTGGGAGGTGAAACCAAGAACCAGCCAGTGGCTGCTGTCGATCCTCCCCATGCAAAAGGCTTGAGGTGGAGATGATGCTCCCCAGAGCCTACAGAAATGTTTTTATCTCTAACTGGAAGGAAGTTAGCCATCTTCCCTCAGCACAACCATCCCCAGCTGCACTGAGGGCACCCAACCTCCTCCTCTGGGCAAGCCCAGCAACGACCGACCTCACCTGGGAGCAAGAGCAATCCCCCTGCTCTCCTGAAAAGCACAACCTCCTTCCTCTGAAAAGTGAGGAATTTCCACCTACCATTCTCAAGCTCTAACACACCCAAAACAAGAAATTCCCACTGTCCTGGGGAATGTCTAAGCTCAGGACATGTCTTGGAAGTGCATCAGAACAGCCAACGGAAGTGAAGCCCGAGGGCAGTGAGCTGTGATCCTGCTGCAGCACAAACATCAGCCACTGCACTTGGTGCTCCATGGCAGGGGAGGTCAGAAGCTTTTGCAATTCCTTCTTTGCACAAGGTGTAAACCTCCAAAGCAGGCAGGGCTTCAGGGCCTGTTCTCCAGCTGGCCGTGCTTGACGCGCCAGGCCCAGCTGACGCTGCAGTCGGGGGCCAGGGTGCACTGCAGCTCGATGCCAGAGTCGGGCACCTCCATGTCATAGCGCACAGGCTGCCCCTCCTTGGTCACCAGGCTGAAGGCAGGCACAGGGATCTGTGGGGCACAACACACAGAGCTCAGTGACACTTCCAGTCTCCTCCAGGACATCACACCCCTCCACCACACGCAGCTTCCCAAGACAAGAACAGCTCCCAGGGAGGGCTTCGTGCTTGGCAGGAACATCCTGAACTCCTCTCATAAGGGAATCCTTGGAACTGGACTGGCAGTGCCCACCCTGCTGCCAAAGTGCCTCCCTGAGCTCTGGGCCATGGCTGGGGGTCCTGAGCTGCCCATGTTTGGGCACCTGAGCTCCTCTCCAGGTATTTTGATTTGTGATGTTCATCTGAACAGAATCTAGAGAGAACCAGCAGCACTGGAACATTTTCTGGGCTGGTGCAACATCTTTTAGAGACAATCCCATTTTACACTCAGATGAGTCACAGTCCCACAGACACTCCAGAGATGCTTTCAGGAACAGCCAAGGCAGCCCACAGTGAGGTTCACAGGAGTGTGCCAACATCTCCAACAGAACAAATTGGAAGCACCCCAGCCAAACACAGCTCATTTCCCTGAGCTGATGCTACTGCTCATGATGAAAATCCTATATAATGATTCTTTAGGGAGAGGGGAAAGAATTTATAATTGAGAAGGATTTTTTAGGCTGCAGCACAGGTGTTTTCTAAGGTATAGATCCCTGTGGTCACTCTGACAATTGGCACTGGCTTACAATTCAGGTTTGGTACTAGGTTTAGGCTGGATATTAGGGAAAATTTCTTCACTGCAAGAGTGGACAAGCATTGGAACAGGCTGCCCAGGGCAGTGGTGGAAGCACCATCCCTGAAAAGGTTCAAAAAATGAGTAGGTGTGGCACTTGGAAATATGGTTTAGTGGGCCTTGTGGGGTTTACTGAAAGGTTGGACTTGATGAT